CTCATTTTATTTATAACAGCTAACTGTATATACCATAATGCTGGTTGACTACAATTTCAGACAATTGAGTTAAATTTTTATTTTGTCCTAAATATCAAAAAAGTTTAATAGTGTGCACTGCTTCAATAATAATAATTTTAGCAGAAATCATAAAAATATCAGATATAAAAGTAATGATCAAAATATTATTATTAATCATTAACAAGCCCTGCATCTTTCACCATTCCATGAAAAAGTCCACATTTCTCAATTAGGTTACTTGGAGTGTCAAACTTCCTAAACCAAGAAAAAATAATTATGATCTTCTAGAACTCCCTCTCCTACTTGATTGCATGCAGCTTTCTTATAAAGCCCTTTGTGTCAAGAAAAGAGATCTCAGCTAGAGAAGTCTTTGGACTATATTAGTCCTATCTTGCCCATTTGCTGTAGAATGAGGCTCAGACTTGCTGATATTTGCCATTTTATTTCATTGTGACAATACCCTCTTTCAATGATTCATGCATAATATTAGAGAAAATATAGATACTATACATGGACAAAAAGACAGTTGGGGCTCGCCCCAATAAAAAAATTATTTTTTATAGCATTGGATTATTGTCCTTTCTTATTCATTAGTTGCTATTGATGCTGGTTGAACGTTTCCAATGACAATAGGAATATCAATCATGATATCTTTATAAGCCCATGAGATAAAAGCAGTTACACGAATGGTATATTTTATTTCAATTATTGTTAGCTTTCCTCCAGTGACTGTGCTGATCATATCAGGTACAGGTAATGGTGGAGGCTCCCAATTGGCTGTAGTATGAGCAGGAACAGGATTGCTTATGGTAGTTGAGACATGACAGTGACACTGATGAGTATAGTTCCCTTTGGTTTTATACATTGTGGTCCTGAGCAGAGTGGCAACGACCTGTCTTATTTCTCGTCCACTTCCGTTATCTATAAAAACTGCAACTGGTATAACATCATTAGGACTATATCCAGTGCGTGGTATAGTAACTTTCATATTAAAAGAGCCTCCTGGTATGAACCAGAGAATGCTCCTCAAAACTCTGCTGACTTCCATCATAGCTGGTTGCATGAGATGTGGTTCATTTGCATCGACTATGTTCATAAATGTGAAGTGCTTTTTGGCAGATTTCTTAACTTCCTTCTTTTCATTTAAAATATCACCTATTATTTTATGCGTTATTCTTCCTCTTCCGTCTCCATAACTAGGTAGTGAACTTTCATCAAGAGTAAACTTAAAGTGATAAACAAAGTTACCAGGAGGAAAGTGATCACCCACAAATGCTCTTTGCCATAAAGTTATACTGTTGCGCATTACAGTCTCTGAAGATGTATCGTAGAGTGAGTCATCACTAAAAGCAGATTCATTGTCTGGTACTATAGTTTTATATTCATGCGGATTATTGGTAGTGGTTGTTTCCTTAGTTAGGTCTACCCCTACATGCACTTGGCTCATCAAAGTAACAGTAATAGACTCGTAATCCTTGTGAACTTTAGTACTTTTAGCGTAGAGTTTACCAGAAAGGATCATACCGGGGTAGAAGAGATCGTGTTCATTTGGTGGTGCATCTATTTCCAACTTTAGCTTCATTTCTTCCCTCGTTTAGACTTCTGATTTCTCCACTCATCCAGCACGCCCAGCAAAATTTGCGAACAATTTAAACAAAGCTTAATCAGCTGAGGAGCCCCTCCCATAACTACTAGAACAAGGCAAAGGGCGAGGTAGCCTAAGACGAGTTCAGGAGCTCTATTTAATATACAGTAACCCTCTCTAGCTGCTGAAGTCTTTGAACCAGTTTTGCCTTCTTCTAAAAAACTCTTGACTTCTTCCTAGAAGATCTATAACTCTAGCAATCAAGATTTGACATATTCACAGCTCTGGCAATTAAGATTTGACACTTTCAGTCTTTCACTCAAGATTTAAATTAGGCTATGAAGACTATAGCAAGCAACTTTTAATACATGTACCTACATTGAATTAAGTGTGAATTGTGCAAGAAAATGTAACTATCAAAAAGTCATAATAATTATTCTAGCTGCATCATAGTTTATTAATTTAAAGGGTACAGTCAAGTAAACCAACAGTTTCTTTATTTTGGCGAGGAATTGCACTGACAGTGTCAGGTTTCAAAAATTAGCTCATCCTTAAAAATGCTCATGCATGTAACTCAAAATTTCCTATCGTAATCAGCTCAAAATTTCTACACAGCACAAGGACATAAATACAGTACACATCCTTTTTGTGGAGATTATAACGAATATTAATTAGTATGTACACTAGGTGCTGTTCATTAAACGAAGGTGTCCACTATACAGAGTGTGTTAAAAGAGGCTATACTGTAAAAATACATACAATCTTCATTCTGTGAAGCTGAGTACATCCTAGTCTCGCTAGCCAGTGTGCAGGATGAACATGTAGCTTGAAAGGGAGGGAAAGTGAATCACTCTTAAAGGTTGGACTTGTTAGTATGTTCCTCTCCATTACTCCAATGAGCTAGCACCCACAGCTGCTCCATCAATTGATATAATTATTAAAAAATAAAGTAATAAAGTTTATCCAGCTTTAGCATAATAAAAAATACAGAGAATTTTACCTAATGGCGAAAAAGTAAAAAAGAGAGAGGAGGGGGAGGGAAAAATAATGTACTGTCTTCCTGTGGCCCAAAATATTTGTGAAAAATTTAGTTTTGTAGGTTTTATTTTTGTGAATGCACCTTCGCTTGTCATGGCTTAATAGAGGAGTAAACTTTTACAAGATTAAAATGAAATTGGCAATATTAGTGGGCCACAAAAATTCATAACTACATATACATGTACGCAAGTATAAGTTAAAATCTAAAAACTAAACTTACACTTCCAGTCTCAACTTTCTCTTCTCCAATCAGTTTTGATCTCTCGTTGGGTTTCCCTTTGCTTACTGAAGGACTTCTTGAGCTTCTGAAGCTGCTTTGTCTTGAACTTCCTCTCTTTAAAGGAATAAAACTTCTCTCTTCATCTGTGTGTGATAAACCAATGTCATAGGATACATCTACATGTACATGTATACAAACTATACATGTATGCACATGTGCTTGTAAAAAAGAGCATCAGTGCAATAATACTCCAACATGTACATGTATTTCCTAAGATTGTTTTTACCATCTTGCATGCATGGCTAAGACTTACAAATGCAAGCACAATAGATATTCCCTCTACCTCATATGATGCTTCTAAAGAAGTCTTTAGACGGTATCTTTGTGTTATCTTACTGTTAGAAAGCTCAAAACTTTGTCCGATTTGTATGTAAATACCACATGTAAGTCATTCATGTACATGTACATGCATATTACATGTACATGTATTGTTTCTAGTACAGGTATGTGCAGTCTTAGCTAACCTTCATCACTGCTCTTTAGTGAACCAGAATGCAACCTTCGAGTATCAAATAATGGAGGATGAGAAATATCATGTACACACTAAAGTAAAAATATGCACCCACTTTGTCCTTCAGCGCTCCTTCTGGTCCTATTACTTTATCAAATATGTGTTTACCAACATGTGAATCAACAGCAGATAAAGGATCATCAAGTAAATACACATCAGACTCTTGGTAGACTGCTCTAGCTAGACTAACATGTTGTTTCTGACCACCACTGAGATTAATACCCTAACAATAGTAAAAGTGCATGTACATGTAGCTCATAATTATGGAGGCGGAATTCAAGCAAATTAGACATTGTGATAGCCATTGACTAGAACTAAAGCGGCTACTTTTAATTATTATTTGATTGCTCAATGATACATGGCCACAAAATTGCCAATTTTAGTAATTAGCTATAATTTCATCTCTAAAAATTGCAATTTACCAAAATTTCATCCCACCAACTGTAACTGACATGATACTAAGTGAAAGAGCCATTTGTTCTCACTTTACTATCACCCAATCTACACGTACATTATGTTATACTACACTACATGTATAGGATTACATGTACTGTATACTATGCACAAAGCACAAGTACATTACATGCATGTATTAATCACAAGGAATTAAAAAATACCTATACTACACTATAGGATTACACGTGCATGTCCTGTATACTACCGTATAGTGGAAAATTTTCGTGGCCCAAAATTTCATGGATTTCGGGTTTTTTTTCAAAACTCATGAAAATAAAATCCGCAAAAATCGATTCTATATGGTTTAAGATGGCCGAAATGTAGAAAACCATAAAAATTAAAGCCACAAAATTGATTTTTGGACAGATCTGTGAAAATTTTGGGCCACAAAAATTTTCCGCTATACAGTATGCACAAAGCACAAGTACATGTACATTACATATATGTATTAACCACAAGGAATTAAAAAAATACCTTTTCTCCTATTTCAGTCATATCTCCTCCAGGGAGTATTTCTAGGTCAGTCTCTAATGCACAAGCACCCAGTGTCCCTCTATAAAGCAAGTAATTGAACTGCTTCCCAAACAATATGTTATCCTTAACAGTAGCATTCTGTATCCAGGCCTGCTGTGGTACATAAGCTACACTACCCTATAGTAAAAAATATATGTACTATAATCATGACTAAAATACATGGACATGTTCACATAAACAATGAACAATGGTGCAATGTAACAGTGTAGTCTCTATATAGCGGACAATTTCGGACAAGAAAATTTGTCTCTTATAATCTAAAATAGCTATACAGTAAGGATGTAATTGGTACACTAGGTTCTGTCAGTTAAACATACTAGATAAGGAAAGCTACATTACATATACTTTACATTGATGGTCACGGTTCCATTAATTTTCTCCATTTCCCCCAACATTGCTGATATAAGTGATGACTTCCCAGCACCAACAGGGCCCACTACAGCAACTAATTCTCCTGGCTTCACTGAGAGATTGATACTACAGATAATATTATCGATAATACATACAATAGGTTGCGTTAAAATGTACATGCATGTACACTGTACAGTGCACTTACTTTCTAAGTGAGGGTCTCTCTGGTCTGTCCCAAGTGAATATTCCTCCTCTAACAGATACTGCATCTTCATCATCTAATGATAAACATAAACACAATCACATAAGCAGAGATGGGTACATGTACATTAAGTCATTAACTGATACTTGAATTTCAATGCACTTACATGTACATGTACATGTACAGGCAAAACTAAATAAACTGAAATTCCTAATAGATTTACGTCCTTAAGCTACAGTGTACATGTAGTTTGAGTTTGAGATGATTCCAACTACAGCTTTTTGAGTTATAGCTTTTATAACAAATGTGCCAATTTCTAAAAAATATCCTATTCTATAGACTATAGTCTATGCTTTTTCATCAAAATGACTCCAAGAATCAACACCAATATCAGAGCCTGAAATTACATTTAAACAGTGTTCTGACACTATGTCTGAACAAAGCCTATTTTGGTCTGACATTTGAATGAAATGGTCGGACATGTTCATTTATCCTTTTTACACATATTAGGGGTCATTTATGTGTCAATGTGTGTGCTTGTTAGTGAGTGCTTAATTCAAAATTTTTTTGTAATGTAAAGAAACTTACAAAAGCATAACCATTAATTTAGTAATATTACTAATAAAAATTTTGTGTTGTTTACTAATGTTCAGACAAAATGGTAGAACAACATGGTAGTTGGTCGGACAATTAAGCAAAATGGTTGGAAAATGTCTGATGTCTGACTATAATTTCAGGCTCTGCAATATTTATTACATTTTCTGATACACATTGATGTTCTTATGCTATGTAGAAAAAATAAATTTCTTTAAGTTGTGGCCATTTAAAAAATATGCCAATTCCAAAACAAACCCTAATTTCTTCATACCATACATCTACAAGTACATGTCCAATAGCAATAATACATGTATACATGTATGCGTGCATGAGCATACCTGAAGTTGGGGTGTTCCCCCTATTAACACTGTCAGGATCAAGTTCATCACTTTTAAGGAAACTTGATAATCGTCTAAGAGAAACACTAGCCTAAATTGAGAGAAGAAACATTAATACAATTAACACACCCCCATTCTGATAAAAACTATTACATTTATAACATAAAGTACATATTATGCATATGCAAATAATAATAATCTTTAATGGGCAGTAATTACATGCACATTAATATGTACATGTAGTCATATACATAAATTAATGCATGTACATGTACATGTATTATGCATACTTCAACAAGGCTTGATATCAGCATTGGTGCCATGGAGAGAGGGAATCTCAACAAATTAAACAAAGAGAGAGCAACAAAAGCTTTATCAGCTGTCAGCCTGTCATTAGGATCAGTGCTGTTACGATGAACTATGGAATACGTAGCAAATGTAGCCAATGCCACCTACATAAAGGGAAGATATAGAAAAATAGGGTGTTTGTTTATGTGAAGAGTATTTTCATACAGTGAGGAATCTAATTGGTTACTACATGAATGTGCTGTCTATCATAGAGAGTATCCATTAAGAGGGGCTATACTGTAATGGTCAAATTCACTGTTTCTTATTTGTACTGATTGTACATGTATGCTTGTGTTGTACACTATATTTTGAGGAACTTAACGTAAATAAACTTAATGCATGCATCTACATACTGCACATTGTATATGTACATGCACATGC